AATGGACTCCAGAGGATGGTAGAGGACAGGAGGAACGTTGTCCATGGGGTCGCAATGGGTCGGACACGACTTCTCAACTAACAACAAGAAGTAGCTTCCAGTCTCCATCTATCATACTTCTTTCAGGAGTTATTTTCTCTCTTCCACATTCTTCTTCTGCCTTGGTCTTTTGGGCCTGCAAAGTCATGGCAGAGGAGAACCTGTTAAGAAAGGGCAGACAAGTCTCTTCGCCACATGAGGCTTAAATACTGTACTCGCAATATGTACCCACCTGCATCAGTCCTTGACTGTGAGATGTTTGTATTAGTTGCTTAACAGAATTTTTTTGTGGGGAGGAGTGGGATAACTGATTTGCTGTGTTTTGTCTGAAGAAATGGGGCCTCCTGATTCCCGAAAACTCAAATGCTATTCAAAGGGGCAAATGCAGTTACATCTGCAAATAACTTTCCACCGATGAAGTGTCCCATCCGGCAAACCTTGGAATTTTTAGAGGACAGCTGCTTGTCCTTCCACTTATCTCCACCCCACCAGGAAGGCAGATTAAAGCTGTTGTTTGGCTTTTAAAGAAATATTCTTCCTCTTCTTGCATCGTAAAGCTTGCTGGGTGAACTGTAATTTCTGATGTCTTGATGACATTGGTGTTGACACAATGACGGTTTTTGAACTGTCCAGTTTTAATGGGCTATTCTAGACTACTGCAGGCATATTCCTTCCTTGTGATCACTGGACACTGCCTTCAAGGCCATTTTGGCTCAGCTGCAGAACCTGGCTTTGGCAGATGCTTAACCAACACTCTGGAAAGTCGTCTGTGGAGATTCTCAATCATCCTGATCATGATTGTCCCAGGGGTGAAATCAACTTACCTTCGCTACCGGTTTGCAAATGTGAATGCCCACCTCTGCAGTACCTTCTGCGCATGCGCAGAGCATCAAAAACAGGACATGATGATGTCTGGGAAGGTGGGCGGAGCCTCCCACTGCCACCGCTACCGGTTTGCCCGAACCGGATAGAACCAGCTGAATTGCATCGCTGGCTTGTCCCAAGGGTGCTTTTCAGAAAGGCAAACTGGACTTTCTTTGGGTTTTTTTCTTGAAAACATTATGCTTCTCATCCAAGAAGCTTCTTCAGCTCTGTTCTCTGGAAAGGCTACAGAATGTTCCTTTTATATCCAGCTCTTTAGCTCAGCTGAATGAATTCTGGATGCATTTGTAAATATGACTTTAGCAAACTTTTTACAAGAACATAGAGCTGTCTTGGTCTACTTTTAAGGATCAATTGAATTTGATTTAAACTAAGAAAGAGTGCCAGGGTTTTATTATTAGGTCTGTCCCAGACTAATGTAAAAGGTAAAGGTTCTCCTCGCACATATGTGCTAGTCGTTCCCGACTCTAGGGGGTGGTGCTCATCTCCGTTTCTAAGCAGAAGAACCAGCGCTGTCTGAAGACGTCTCCATGGTCATGTGGCCGGCATGACAAAATGCTGAAGGTGCACAGAACACTGTTACCTTCCCACCAAATGTGGTTCCTATTTTTCTACTTGCATTTTTACATGCTTTCGAACTGCTAGATTGACAGAAGCTGGGACAAGTAACGGGAGCTCACTCCATTACGCGGCACTAGGGATTCGAACTGCCGACCTTTCTGATCGACAAGCTCAGCGTCTTAGCCACTGAGCCACCACGCCCCTAACACAGACTAGTGTATTACAGTTTATATGCTTCTTCTGCATATCAACTGCTTCTGAAATCAATAAAGGTTTTCTGCTAGCCTCTCTTTTTTTTGTTGGTAAGACAGGTTATAGAGGCAGAAGGTGATTTGGCTGCGGCAACCAATTGCTGACCATACTTCAATTCCCTTGTATCACTTTCTTGTTCATTCCCTCATGTTTCACCTGGCATCCAAAAGAGACAGGAGATATTCATAGCAAAAGGAACAGACCCAAGGGAAAAGGACCTCTCCTGATGCACCTTGCAATCCTTTGCCATGCTGGCAGCTATTTTTGAAGATGGGACTCGGGAGCCCCAAACTCATGCTCTAAAAAACAGCCTGGCTGACTGGCCACGTGCAGAGCAGTGAGACATCTTTTAACAGAGTTGGAAGGGACCTTGCAGGCCATCTAGTCCAAGCGCCCCCCCCCCCAATCCAAGCAGGAGACCCTACACTGTTTCTGACAGATGGCAGTCCAGTCTCTCCTTGAAAGCTTCCAGTGATGAAGCTCCCACAACCTCTGAAGGCAACTTCTGTTCCATGGGTTGATTGCTCTCACTGTCAGAATATTTCTCCTTATTTCCAGGTTGCATCTCTCCTTGTTCAGTTTCCATCCATTATTCCTTGTCTGGCCTTCAGATGCTTTGGAAAATAGCTTGACCCTGTCCTCTCTGTGGCAGCCCCTGAAATATTGGAACACTGCTATCATGTCTCCCCTGGTTCTTCTCGTCACTAGGCTTTCCATGCCCAGTTTCTGCAACTGTTCATCGTACGTTTGATTCCCCCAATCCCCTAATCATCTTGGTTCTCTGCACATGGGATGAAGCAGGAGAGATCTCCTGGAAAAACTCAACTGAGCATCATCCTGCAGTCCTGAACTGCATCGGGGCTAATTTGGGAACATAGGTTGAATGCACTTCCACAGAAAAGCATTAGACCTGTATTAAAACAAACAGATCCATTGAGCTAGATTCATTTTCAGAAATAAACTGCAAGATAGTCCAGTAGCAGGAGGGCAACCAGGAATGTGGCTAAAATCTCTGTCCCAGGCACCCATTTCTAGTCACCAAGCCTGTCTGACATTAAAGGTAGTGATTGATTATTGTTTTTGCTGCCACAGTACAGTGGTGGGATTCAACCGGTTCGCACCTATTCGGGAGAACCGGTTGTTAACTTTCTAAGCAGTTTGGAGAACCGGTTGTTGGAAGAAACCCTCTTTTGTTTTTTCCCCACTTTACAGGGCTAATCCTGTAAGCAAGGCTGGAAGGAAACATTCTGGTGTTGTTTCTAGCCTAATCTTTATTGCCCTGCTTACAGAAACTGCCTCTCCGGTTAACACCCTTATTACATTGTAACAGCTAAGTTGAAGTGACCATCGACGTGAGTAACAATGAGTTGGCCACACCCACACAGTCACATGACCACCAAGCCACGCCTACCCAGCTGGTCATTAGGGACAGAGAACCGGTTGTTAAATTATTTGAATCCCACCACTGCCACAGTAATACAGGTAGCTCTTGATTTACAACCAGGGATGGGATTCAAATATTTTAGCAACCGGTTCTCTGCCTGGTTGCTGGGTGGGTGTAACCATGGTGGGCGTGGCCTGCTTGACCTCCTGCACCACAGCGGGTGGCCCGTTTTTTGCCCTCTCCAGGCTCCAGAAGCTTTCCTCAAGCCTCTGGGTGGGTGAAAACAACCTCCCGTGGGTTCTGGAGTCCCCCCAGAGTCTGGAAACAGGCTTGTTTCCATACTTCCGGAACTTCCGGAAAGCCCGTTTTTTGCCCTCTGTGCGGGCCCTGCACTTACCTGGCATCCAAAAGGAGGAATGTGGAGACTCCTGAGAAGGGCGGGGTGGGGCCAGCCAGTCCTTGCAATTACCGGTTTGGCAAACCAGATGTAAAATTAGCATCCGGTTCGCCCGAACCAGTCTGAACCGGCTGAATCCCACCCCTGCTTACAACTGTTCATTTAATGACTGTTCAAAGTTACAACGGCACTGAAAAACGTGACCCATGCCCATTTTTCACAGTTGCAATCTTTGCAGCCTCTCCACGATCATGGGAATCCAAATTCAGATGCTTGGCAATTGGTTCGTATTTATGACCATTGCAGTGCCCCAGGGTCATGTGATCACTTTTTGCGACCTCCTAAGAAGCAAAGTCAATGGGATAGCCAGATTCATTTAACAACCGGGTTAGTCATTTATCCACTGTAGTGATTCGCTTAACAACTGTGGCAAGAAAGGTCATAAAATGGGGCAAAACTCACAAATGTCTCACTTAACAATGAAAATGTTGGACTCAATTCTGGTCATACGTTGAGGACCATTGTACTGGGCAGGAGGGGAAATGCACCAGTTGCTACACCTTAAAAAAATGTAAAGGGAGCCCTAGAGATCCAGGGAAAATAGGGATTGTTCATTGGGGCAGCCCGGTGTATATCAAATCACCATGAACCACGAGATAAGTTGCATATAAATATAAATAAAACAAATCATTCTTTTCTGGCAACTCAAAGTCTGTAAGAAGGCCAATTAGCCCAGCTGTCAGGAAGAGCCCTTTGTTGGCAGTTCATAGGTTAATGCATTCTTCTGGAAGCAAATCTTTGAAGCCAGAAGAGTGAGAGTTGAGCCATTCATATGAATTAATTTGAAAGAACAATCATGTTCTCGTTCCATCCAGCTTCTCTGGGCTGGTATTTCCTAGCTGTGCTTGTCTGTCCAAATGTATTGTCCAGATAGCGCCAGAAACATCTGGATGTGCCTGAGGGGTCATCTGGGGTAAAATGGTAGCATGATCAGATGACCAAGGCGGTCTCCTTCTTATTCACACATGATGCCTGTGAGGCATGTTTAAAAGGCAGAGGATTAACTATCAATCATTCTTGCCATTTTGATGCTTTTGACTCTCTGTTGATGTCCTGGTACCCTGTCCTGAGGAATGAAATACAAAACCTACAGCAATCAATCAAGGCTTTACCACATGTGCTGGTGGGACTCTTTCCAAAAAGTTTTGACAGACCCACCCAACAAAGCAGTGGTGGGTTTCAAATATTTTTGGAACCTACTCTGTGGGTGTGGCCTCCTTTGTGGAAATGGCTTGCCNTCCGAGGTGGGTAAAATGAGGACCCAGATTGTGGGGGCGATATGCTGACTCTGTAAACCGCTTAGAGAAGGCTGAAAGCCCTATGAAGCGGTATACAAGTCTAACTGCTATTGCTATTGCTATTTAAAGCAGAAATGTGCCATCGAACATGGTTGGTTTGCAAATTCTAAAGTCTTTCTTCCCACAGGGTATGTCCAGGCATGTCGGGCACTGATGATTGCCGCCACAGTTTTGGGACTCCCCGCTGTTTTCCTCCTGGTGACTGTTTTGCCTTGCATTCGGATGGGCCATGAACCTGGGGTGGCCAAGTATCGGCGTTCTCAATTGGGAGGAATCCTTTTAATCCTCTTGGGTAAGGCTCTCCGTGTCTCAGTTCACTTCCTCGGGTGCTAATCAAACTCTAACCTAGCATGTTTTCCAGGGTCCAGATCCACAAAGCTGCACTTAATCCCAGAATCATAGTTATCGTCACATTAACCTGGGACAGAGCCAGCCTCCCAATGAAGGCTGCATTCAAACATGTTGTGTTTTTTTATCAGGGCAGCCTAGTCTATCCAATTATGGGATGGGCTGCTCTGCTTTTACCTTTCAGTCCCAATCCAGGAGCCTTCATAGGCAGTTGCTTTCGCAAAAAAACTGCTTTTGTATTGAATTTATGTTTTACCGATAAAGAAATAAAGGAAGACTAGTATAGGTCTATTTCAAGCTATTTAGCTCTCATCAGCTAGCCATACCTTTCTGGAATTTAGTAAAACATAAATTCAACATACAAACGTGTTAAATTAACCTGTTGTAAACAATATATCTATACAATAGATTGAACCATATGTTACCCAAATGGCACTAATCTGCCTAACTCACTCTAAATCTAATCAACGTTAACATGAATGGAGCTTAAGATATTGTGTGAATGGATCTGCTAAGCCTTTCCCTGAGCTGGTTAGACAAACAGAACAGAATAACAAAGTTGGAAGGAATCTTGGAGGTCTTCTAATCCAACCCCCTGCTCAGGCAGGAAACCTTATACCATTTCAGATAAAATGGTTAAGCGTGGTGCAAGAGTCCATCCATTTTATGGTAGATAGTTTTTGGGAATACATGTAAGTCCTTGATTTATAGTAGTAACAGCAACAGCACTTAGACCTATATACCACTTCATAGTGCTTTACAACCCTCTCTAAGCGGTTTGCAGAGTTATTAGATTAGATTAGATTTGTTTTATTTATATGCCGCCCTTTTCCGGGAGGGACTCAGGGCNATGTACGTGCAAATTGTATTTCTCTGAGAGGGACAACTGCTTCTTTCGCACACCATTTATCTTTCATATTGTCTTAAATTCTCTGAGAATGCAGTAAAGAAGGCATCTTTACACTGGGTAAGGAAGGGATTAATTTAAGTTGAGATTTATTTTCCTTTTGGGAAATAATTGTGTGTGTGTATACTTCAAAACATCATAGACACCAAAGGAGATTCTTACAGGCATGCTGAAGTCAACGGCACCAGATTGTGGAGCCCAAATTTAGCATGGCAACCTTATGTAAGCAGACACAACAAAATCTTAACATTACAAGCTAAAGATCATCTCTGTGTACAAATACAGCCCTGAGGCTTCTGCTTTCTGGTGATTGTACTCTGGGTCGCATCCCCAGTCTCTTGGGGCTGTGTTTTACGATCACATACGGACTGACTGCCTCTGGTGGATGCCTCGTGGGTGGGTGGCATGGGGGAGAAGATAATAGCATTCTTCTTTGTTGCAAACATTACCCAAAACAAGGATGGTACTGTATGCACATACAAGGCTATAAATAGTCTCTATCAGTAGGTCACGTGACTTTCACTAAGGCTATGCCGAGGCTTAGCAGTGTGGTAGGATCACTGAGGGACATTGTGTGGGTAGGAAGGTCCTTGGCTCTTCAAGTGGAGGAGGGAGGGAGTTACAAATGCCTCTAGGGCGCTTCTGCACCTCCTCCTCCTCCACCCTGCCTTGCTAGTAGCTGATGGTGCTAGGCAGGAAGGACTCTTACGTCCTGTCTGTAGCCTCGATCGCTCTTCTAATATAAGTCCTTAGGAGAGGGGAATCTTAGTGTGGGGCTTGATAGCTTTGGGGAAGATGTGACACAAAGCTCACATTGTCAACGTCAATGGGTTTGGCTCAACAGTGGGATTTACTTACCTCTCCTACTGGTTCACAAATGCTCACGCATTATGTTGGGGCAGGTGGGTGGCGCCTCCCTCAGCCGTTGCTACTGATTCGCCCGAAATGGAGAGAACAGGCTGCATACCACCTCTTGTTTGGCTTCTATGGGGAAATAGCATGGATGCTTACCCAAAGACACTATCTGATTGCACGAGAGCCGGTGGTGGGATTCAGCCAGTTTGCACCTATTCGGGAGAACCGGCTGTTAACTTTTTAAGCAGTTCGGAGAACCGGTTGTTGGAAAAAAATCTCCTTTTCTTTCTTTCCACTTTACAGGGCTAATCCTGTAAGGAAGGCAGGAAGGAAACATTATGGTTTTATTTCTAGCCTCATCTTTATTGCCCTGCTTACAGAAACTGCCTCTCCTGTTAACCCTTATTACATTGTAACTTCTAAGGCGAAGCGCGTCCATTGACGTGAGTGACGTTGAGTTGGCCATGGCCACCCAGTCACATGACCACTGAGCCCCACCTACCCAGCCATTCATTAGGGCAGAGAACTGGTGGTTAAATTATTTGAATCCCACCACTGATGAGAGCCCGAAGCAAATGGTCCAACTGGCTAAAATAGGACATAATTTTCTGCAGCATCCAATCTTCTCCTTGCAATACAATAAGGGCCCAATTTCTGTTCATTTCAGCAAGGCCCGCTTATGGCTGACAAGAGAATCGAGTTTCATTTGAGATTCACCATGTGCCATTCTGGTACCTCAAAACCCATGTATTCATTCCCAAGTCCAGAATGGCAAAGTATGAACTTTCTTCATGGAGATTGCTTTAATAATAATTTGATTTTAGCAAACTATTGGCAAGAATAATTCTTTTCTGGGGATTATGGGTTTCGGCATCCTCATATTAGAAATTCCTCATATTAGCTAGTCTAATATCTAAGGGGTTGCCACAAAGAGAACGGGTCAATTTATTCTCCAAAGTACCTGAGGGCAGGACAAGTAGTAATGGATGGAAACTAACCAAGGAGAGAAGCAACCTAGAACTAAGGAGAAATTTCCTGACAGGAACTATTTATCGGTGGAACAACTTTGTCTCAAGAATTTGTGGGTGTCCATCATTGGAGGTTTTTAAGAAGAAATTGGACCACCATTTGTCTGAAATGGTATGGGATTTCCTGCTTGAGCAGAGGGTTGGACTAGAAGACCATCAAGACCCCTTCCAACTGTGTTATTCTGTTATTCATCAAACTCAAAATTGCTTGGGAAAGGAGTTAAAACATCTGGAATGAAACATTTTGAATTCAGACAGTGAGAGGATGGAAGAAACAAAGATCGGGAGACAGAGAATGATGGAAATGCCCTAAACGTGTTGTTGTTGTTGTTTTCCAAGTTTTATTGCGAAATCTAATACCATTTTCCTTTCCCAACAATGCAAATCAATTCCCCCAAGTCAGCCCATTTCAACTACTATTCTACAAAGGACATATTTCCAGGTTCTTAAGGCATAATCTGTTTGTATATATATATATATATATATATATATATATATATATATATATATATATTCTTCTCTTTTTTTGGTTTAATATTTCCATTTAAAACCCATGGACAATTCAGCAGAGATGTTGCCTTTTCTTTTTTCTTTTTAACCCCATCCCTGTTTTTCTGTAAATATAAAGGCACACAATGAAGCATTATGCATCTATTAAAATATACACATTTGGTAAATATAGATTTCTTTTCCAAGTGTCTTTTGACATCATTATATTTGTATATATTATATAATAATCAACAACACAATCATTCTCAAAGTAAAGGTCACTTCATTAAGATATCTGCATAAACTGTCATCAGGACACACCACAAAAGCCCATTGCATAGTACACCAACGGGGTTTGGGAAATCACAAAAATAAATAGAGAACAAGTATTTTTTTTTCCTTTTAAACAAACACATCGATTTCATAGAAGAAGTGCAAATAAATGTCCACAGCAGGAAATGCCACCTGTAAAACAAAAACAACTTCCAAATAGACAATATTGAGACTGACCGAAATCAATGCAGCAAAGACCATTTTACTAGTTGCAGGTTGAATACAAAATGCCTTTGACACAAGGTGACAGTCGTTTGCAGCAACAAAGCTGGACTAAAGGGCCTCATGGTTAAATAATTTGCAGGATCCCTGTCTCTTTGCCACTGGTTCACTGTGGACACAGGAGTGACGCAAGCAGCTCTCAAAAGCCTTTCATTTGCTTCCAAAGAAAAGCCACACGGCATGTGCAGAAGGACAGGGCATGCATCGGGCTTCCTCTCCCGTAACGAGTACATGGGAAAGAGTCTACACGGTATCTCCTGACAGGGCAAACAAATACGTAAGTTGCACAGACATGTCACTTGACTGGCATTGACTACTTTGCTGTGTATGTGTGAACGCATCCCAGGAACAGCAATGGGCTTGTGATGGTGGAAGCTAATAAGGAGGTCTCGTTTCTGCCGTTTGGCCAGAAATGGCGCACTGGCACATGCGGGTGACCACCCAATGCCAAGGTCACCCGATAATAATCAAGCATGTGCAAACCAATTTTGATCCTATCAAAATCCATCCAAGGATTGATCAACAGTAGATTCCCATGATTTCCGTCATAAAGAGCAGCGGAGCGATATTGAGCTATACTGTACCCTGTTTTTTGTTGAAGCTTTGACCTCAGAAAGTGTTTCCATGATGTTAGTGGTAGCAGTCAAGGAAGACAGGGAGAAGAATCATCCTAATGAAGCACGTCCAAGGAAAACCGCTTCTAACGGTAAAGGATAAATCTGGTTTTGGTTACCTACAAACAGATTACTTTTCTAGCTGAGAAGTATGGAAATTGGTTACCACATCTTCAAATCAGGGTTTGAACTGGGATGCAAAACTCTGAACAGTGATTATTCATGATAAACGGTAATGATGAGAATAGAGCAGATCTATCAATGGTTTTCAAGGTAAGTACAGCCAGTTGAGTTCTGATTTTACTGAACTGGTTATAAAACTTCTAAATCTGGTTCCAACACTTAGCTCTCCAGAAAAACTTGGAAAGGGGCTTCATAAAGGACCATCTCTTTTTTTTAAAGACAGAGGAATTTAGTTCAAATCAATACTGGAGGAAGAAAACATTGATAATTAAATATCTGGAAGAAACGTGACAAAATCTCCAACTTTGTAATT